AACCACACGTCGTTAAACGAGGCGGCTGAGGTTGCCGGGGTTATTAGATGCTCAATCATGTGAGAAAAAGTAAATTTTAATATTTAATTAAAAATATATGCAAATTTCTTATGTATGATTACTTTTTCATTTACGTAGCAATTTAACCACTTTTGTCTTCAACAACGTAGTTGTCCTCTACTTTCAAATTTTTGTTTGTATATTATTTATAATCTATATTTTATTGTCGTACAAATTAATTTTTCGTGAATCTTATTATTATTGATATATTATTTGTCTTATATATATTGATATGCCATATATTTAGGCACGAATTTGTTCCTATATTTATTTACATGTAGTGATTACAATAAATCAGAATACTCGAGTTTTACTTGAGAAAAATATATATAATTTTGAATTTGGGATGGGGTGTAAGGCAGTGTTCTACCGTCCCAGTCAGCGGAGAAAATACCGAACGCAAGCAAATAAAACATAATGTCGTCATCACCGGTCATTCTTGTTTACCCCATGACAGCATTGTTATACGTCATCCTAGTCTTGTGACGAAATATAACCAGTAACGATGAGATCGTATTTTCAAAGTATTATTTGCGAATGATTTATTGGCATCCTTCTGAGATGACATAATATAACGACAAGGTTATCGCCGTCATTGTAAAACTTAGACTTTTAAGCGTTTAGGTAATGCGACTCAAATGATACGGTTTTAACGTTGAATGTACAAATTTGAGCATAACGAGCATATTTTAGCAATATATACTATTTTCATTTGCAAACACATTTGATTAATACAAAAAATGACTGAACATTATCGGACCGTGCTTATATATCGCGTTGAATAAGCAAAAATAGTTTTGGGCGAATCTGTTTAGTTGTGTTAATAAGAATGAACAAGTTCTAAGAAGCTAAGGCGGAACGTTCTGGATTGAGAATCAGCAAAATCGTTTGTCGATAGTTCATGTTCTATGTTTGCAAATTTTTGTTTAAATTTAGCTTTGAACAAAGTTCACAATTTGACGACGTTTCGTCTTAATATAGAATGCTGTGTGTTTCGTCACATTACCTAGAAAAGAAATAATTACCTAAAAAAAATGCTCCAGGTTACAAAATAGTTGGACCGCCCTTACATATACATTTGAGTTCGAATCCTCGTAGAATTATTCAGCATTGGTTAAAATGTTATGTTCAGTGATTGCAAGATCGCGAAAAATTTTCAATAATTTTTCAAATGAATTCACATTAGAAAATTAAATTGTACCAATTTGATCTTACGTGTTTCTCTCTACTATCTTCATCATGTAATATTATAACGTAAAATAAGATTTTCGATGCGAAATTGATTGAGGCAAAAACTTTTCGCTTTCCGTATAACAGTTTCCTTTCAATTATGACTAAACTACTTGTAGATTTCATTTTAGGCAATAATGTACAGAATGATGAAATATTTTGAAATTAACTATATATTCGCCTTGACAATCTCCAACTCACACATTACCCCATGAAGCATTGAGCAAACTTTTTTTGTTCTTCTCAACAAAAACGCTGTTGAAAGATATATAGACGAAAGCTAAAGAGAGTGAACAATATGAAAACTGATTTTAAAAACTAAAATACTAAATTTTTCATATCTCACAAAATGATTTCTCAAATCAAATGCTTTGATTTTTGTGGCATAGTAAAGAATCCGAATTGCCGCTAATACGATATGTAAAATGACTCGAATATATTTTTAAAATTTCTGGGCCAAAAAGTATGTTTTTGTGATGACAAAAATAGTCTGCATATGATAAGAAAAACCTTGAATTTTTAAAATATAATGAGGATATTATAATTTAAAAATTCATCGTTAAATGAACTCATTTTATCTCTGCCAAAAAAACATAAAATAATTTACAGTTTTATTTAGAAACACGCTGTGTAAGATAAAAAAAATAGTTTCTATATCTTGTGGCGATAATCCATGTTTCGGTCTAAATACGTCAATGTCTCATTTGACGTCACCAACAAAGCAAATGTTGCAATATTCAATCGAAGATATGACATTTCATTTTGTAGCCCTTTAATTGTTATTGGACTTGACCCTTCAAACTAAACATTATCCTCAACATCTGAAAAAGAGCAACCCTTTTGAAAAACTGTTCATTTATAAGTCAACTTCGTCCCGGAATACAGTTTGAACGAAAAATAATAAGCAAATTTAATATGCATCTTGATTAGCAGATTCTGTGTGAAAATTCTAATATATATATATAAATACAACAATTTGCGGGACATCGCAAAGTTGTAAAACATTCGAAATTTGTATAAAAGATGGCGGTACCGTGATTTCATCATTATATTTTTGCCCTCCGGTACTTTTGCGTCTGATTCATACAGGCTTTTGATTGTTGCTTACGCAGATATGGGTGTGTTCGGGGCGGATTTGTGTCAGCGATAGGACAGCAAATGATCCATGTAAAAGTAAAAGTCGTGTAGGTTACTTCTTACTTGGTCGTACGTGGCCAATTTTCTATGTTAAATCTGACTTTGGAATATAAAATCTTGATAAACCTTCATTGACTTTCAAATTTAATTGCATCTCAAAATGAATACAATTTAAATCAATTTTCCACACGGTAAAAGCTTGCATTGTCGGTGAATACCAAAATTCTGAATAAAAACATTTACAAGTCTTTATTTCAAATTATAAAATGTGTCATTGCTGGTTTTATTTCTCTGTAAAAGTTTCATCTAAGTGCGTTCTAATTTTATCATATTTATGTTTTGGGGATTTAAAACGTGTTGGATATAAAACATTAGGAGAATTCACGTGAAACTTTCCATAGTTATATTTAAGCAAATATTATTTCTAGTTTATCGGAAAACTATGTTAATCCGAGCATGTAAATGAATATTGCTGAATCAAGGTAAAAATTGTGTTGACAAATACCTTGGGTGTTTTTGTTCACATATGATTATATTTTTACCAGTTCGTGACTCCACCGTGTTCAGAATGCTGAAAGGGCAGAGAATTCTCTTGTGTACTTGATTCTACAAGTAAACAATGTACAATTGCCATATTGTCAGGACTCAGAAATATTGCTCATACATAACACGTTTTGAAGCACCGTAACCTTGATTCCAAACAAATACTTGTAAGACACTATAATTTTCTGATAAGCATCAGCTATAACGACAAGCTGTCTCGTAAATACACTGTCACAACCTTCCTTTTCAAAAAACAGCTTCACGAAGTTCGAAATTAGGCAACGACCTTCCATATTAAATTGTTGTCATAACGTTGATTGTTTATATATATGTTTTGTTATTGTTAAAAACTTGTCAAAATGATAAGCATTTGTTAGGGTTAGGCTATAGCTATTTTAGTTATATGGGATAGTTTACATTAAAAGGGAAAAGCGTACACTTTAATCCATTTTCAGAAACTTTGTTTGTAGTCTTTTCATGTTTTCGCCTTTAGCTAATTTCCTTTATGTAAACAATTACGCATAATCGATTAACGCATACGTAAAGAAAACTTTTGTCGATTATGTAAAAATCCCTTCATAAGCAACTTTTCAAAAAGTTATAACTATGTTATCGAATGTGGTGTTGTTGTATTTTAATATACCTTAGTCATTTTTATCTGCCTCGTCGTGGACAAGAAATTCCAGAAGTACGAAGATTAATTGTATTGATATCTGAGGAGCTCTCGATGCCATTATATGAGATGAAATGTTATTTCCGTACAAAAGTAACCCACTTAATAGATTGTTTCATAGTAATACATCTCACGAATATCGAGGATTAAAATTGTTTTCAAAATACATGCGTGGTCACCGTTAGCGAGGAAGCTACATTTATTTAGCGCCTAATCTGCCGTATTAGTTAAAAGCTAACTTTCAACCATAACGTTGACAAAAGCGGATTAGAGAAATATTCTATGCATGTATTATGAGAATTTTTTTTCATGGATAAGTATTGCGTAGTATTGGTATTATTGCACGGTGCAAAGGTACGCTTTTGGTGGAATTTCGTGGGCGTAGCATGCACATAAAAACGTGTTACACAGTGACCACGAGGGTATTATTTCAATGGCACGACTGCAACGTATGGCCCCACATTTTCTATGTCAATTACTTTTCTAAATCCACTTTTCGGATTTTCGCGCGTTATCCTCCCTTTAAGTTTTTTGCCTTTTCATCATTTTTAGAGCTATTTTTGGTAACATTAACACCGCTCCATAAAATGACATCACCCGATTGAGTAGGAGAAAATGTCTTGTAGATATACAGGACACGTTTTGAAAATCATTTTGCAATTGTGTTGAATATATATTTAAGGTTGTATTAATATTTAATAATTTAGCCGGACTACGCCCTCTGCTTATATTGGCTTTTTACGCGGCTGTGTCTACATTTCTTTTCGGCGCTAACTTTTGGTTATTGTTTTAAAGTTAAACTGAAGCTCCTGGAAGACATAATGACGATCAAGTTATTGATTTTCAGAAACACAACTAAAAACTGATAGATCACACTCAAAATCACGTAAACGAGACAATGTTTACAACTATGCTTAATATCTGTCTGTGCGAAAGAAATGTCTGAGCGACTCCACATATTGCAATTGTTTTGTCATTGTTGACCTATTACTAATTGTTCATTGTATGGAAATAAACAAGGAAATCGATACTCGGGGAAACATCCATAAAGTACATGGCTCCAGCATTATAGTTTTATCATTCTTCTTCACTTCAGTGAATTTTTTGAAATAAAATGATACGAAGCTCGTCTTTTGCAAAACTGCAAACAAGAATTTAAATTGCTAGATTAGGAGTGAATACTACGCATTGATCTGGTAACCCTGTACAAGGTAGCTGAGTGCTTTTAACAGAATGCCGATTGTTGCGTCACCAAATACAAGTCAGTAAACGGCTGTCGCCGAGTTCAGAGCATCGAGAGCAGTGGCCGAATGGTTGATCGCGTTCGTTAGATGTATTATCTCGGGGAGCGGTGAAGTGTATTCTCGTTTAAGCCATGTGGGTTAATACATTCATATTAATTTCACATTCCTGCTATCCTGATACAATGAGACAAATTAAATTCTAGATTTTATTATAGCCTAGTGTAGCGACATACTGTTACAGAAGTACATTGAAAAAGTTTGGTACTTTTATTCATCCAGCTTAACGAGAGCACGGAAAATAGGGCTCTATATAAATAGAGAGAGTATGCTGAAGGAAAGCAAACATGCAGAAATTATAACTCTGAAAGAAAATTCAATACCAGACGTTCAAATGCTTTGGGTGCCGAGAAGAATATATTTCCTAGTTAGTTTATTTTGCAAAAGTACATTTTACAACTGTCCCTGCAATGAATAGTCATCGTAAGAAACATTCAGACATACAGCTGCTTAAATGTACCTGCTGCGAAAGTATTTTTGAGGGAAAAGCTTTTTGAGAAGCATCAAAAAATTCACTACAATCAGATTGTTGCAACAGAAAACAAAATGAAAGCATTCCAGTCATGCTTGAATGGACAAATTAAACATTGCAGTGTTGAGATAAAAACTTCGTGGAATGAATCCTACAGCTTGGATATTTCTATCAAACTCCAATCTTAAAACAGATTTTCAATTTCAACCCACGAATTTGTAACATTTACATGGCGATTGTTATGAATTCAAATTACCAAACTTGATGCCGTATTGTAATTTTGCTGTATGATTTAAGTTCGTTTACGTCACGTTATTCTTATGCTTGATTTGCATATTTATCGGATGACAGGGAATGGTAGGCGGTTTATTATAAAATAGTGCACCATTTGATTCATAAATCCCCAGCCCAATACTGGAGTCATTGAAGTCGCAATCTGCATGCTAATATTTCCTCATTCTGGTTTAAATATAAAAAGCCTTGTAGTAATAGGTATCATAATTGGAAATAAGTCCCTGTTACAAGTTTTCCATTTTATTTTTTTTCTCACTATGTGTCTTTTTCTTGGCTGTTGTTTGGATTTCCTGTTTTATTGTTCAAATTTTGTTTCTGATGATTTTTGTATCGGACAGTTATTTTCTCTTATACTTACATTGATGGTGGTTTGCCTCTGTCTATTTTAAAACTTTTGTGTGAAAAAAGAATAGTCTTTTTATGAGCTGTTTTTGCTCTGAACAAGGCTTTGCTTGAGTAGGATTATGTGCAGGAGCATAATCAAATCTTTGTTGCATATCCTGCCACGTGATAAATATCATTATATATTGCATGAACTAGTGTAGACGCTTTGTTGGTTTGCAGTGACATTTAAACAAATCATATTGATCTGGATTTAAGCCTACTGTAATGACTTTTCTAAATCTCCGATGTTGAAAATTTGTCATGGACTATTTCAATCCTGGTTTAGTAGTGTTAATTAGATGGATAGAGTGAAAGCTACTCACTAAAGAAACATGCTGTGTTTTATTAAGTCTATACTTTGTAATTCAATACCTTTGCATCAATGTAGTTTTCAGCTGTGAATTTCAATTTGTTCTAATGCCAATTTGCTAGCACCCACATTTTTGCAGCGTGTTCACCAAGTTGAATGCCCGAACGATGCACGTTCGTGTTTTTATCTTTTTTTTTATGTTTGTTTGTGTAGTATGGGTGAACTGGCACAATCAATTCTTTCCACCACTTTCCCAACCTTTTTGAAGGTTTTGCCAGTTTTTTCAATCTTCACCACTGTTTTGTGAATTTTTTTTAGTTAGGAAATTACAATTCAGGACACATCGTATTTCTGCTTCTGATCTTGACATAATGGAGGGAGAAACACAAGCAGAATCACTCTCTGCAGTCAAGAAAAGTTTGAAGTCAATGGAAGATCAAATAAAGCCTTTGCAAGAAGTTGCAGTGCGCGTTATTGGTAAATATGAATCTTTGATTCCTTTTTATTCAGATATAAGTTTGATCTAGTTTTTATCCCATATCAACAAATCATGACTGTGGATAACATAAGTTGGTAACCTCATTCTCATTAAAAAAAAAATCGGATAGACAATTTACAGGTCAGTCAGTCCGAAAGCAAGCAAGCATGTACAGGCTTACTGTATTACCTTTACTACAAAACCTTTGGTTTACTTCTACGCACGACGTGAAATGCTTTATACTCCACAGCTGATGCTCACGATACTCTAATCGACTTAGTGACTTCTTTTGATCCATCGTTACAAGATAACATTATCAACCAAACGTGTGTAGCCTGTGAAGCATGTCGTCATGAATATAATACCAGGTGGAATATATTGTGCGAACGATATGGAATCGAGAACGGAATGATGAACTGAACAGCTGATTGATTCTGCTAATAACTGCATCGACCAATGTATGTCTTCGTCAACTGATATGCCATATTTTTTGGTATTTTGGAAATGTGGTAGTTTTCATTATATGTTATTTGTAAAACTGTTTAACTACCATTACGACTGCATTGCATATTCTTTTTCGAAATGTTCTTAAAAGTAGTCACAATCTGAACATAGTATGTGTACCAGTTAGGGTTGTTCAGGTTGTGCGTCATCTTGGTACGAATACTTCCGGAGCGCCATACAATGAGTTGATAAAAGTTGATTTCGGTACTTTCATAAGAAGCAATAAATCACCTACTTTGCAATAGTTCCAGGATATGTTTCATCTCTATTTTGTCCTCAATATTGTTTTGTCAAAATAAATTTGGTTTACGTCGAGACATCACCGATACTGTTATCCCCTAAGGTTGATTTTCAAATAAGCGTGCTTTTGGTGGAAAAATTCATTATTTTTTTGTCGAGTTTGAAATTTCTATTTGTTTGTATATAGTTTTTGCACACTTTAACGGGGAGGCATAAATATTTGCTTGTTCCACATTCCGTGATTCCATTTGGTCTCGCCATTTTGTTTGGATTAAGTGCCCTAATAATTCCCAATAATAGAAATATTAGTCTTCGCATGGGCATGTTAAATAGTTATAATTGTACTCTGTAACTACATTCTGAATTATTGAAGTCACATTGAGAAATGCATAGCTGATAAAATGAAAATAAACAATACAAACATTTTTATTCTGATTTCGTTGACGACATTATTGGGTTAAAATTTGCGTATATATTTACATTCAGAACTTTTGAGAATTGTGTAAAATTTTAAAAATATTATGAAGAATTTTAGCAGACTCATGAATTCAAATCATGGATAGGGGTAAAACATTCCCAATACTGCTTAAAAATATGTATCTGTAACAGTATTTACATGCAAGTGGTAGATAAATTCGCTTAGTGTATGAATTGGATGTAACCACTGAATCTTCGCAAGCGAGGTGTTTGGAACAAAAATAGCATATCAAACAATTTTATTCGAGGTAGGCCGGCTAAGTTATATTAGATTGCAAATGGTGTATATTTTTGGCCTCACGCTTTTCCATGAAGATTGTATACAGTGTGTGGCTATTTCCTGAAAAAATACTGATTTAGAATGATTCCGTGATAAATATTTTTTTCGTAAAAAAAGAGCCCGCATTCTCCCAAAAATCCAGCTACTTCGCTGTCGTAATTTTTGACAAAATACAAGTCATATTTCAGTCCGAGGAAACAGCAAAGTCATGAACATAAAAGCTCAAAACTGCTGGAAGTTTCGGATCTTGTTTACAGTAGTTTGGTAATCTATTTATAGATTCGTCGCAGTTTTATACGAAGCATAGAAAACAGTGGTTTTCGATTGGATGATATTCCTGATGTATGATAACTCGTCAGACAGTATTGTGTAGGGCTGTATCAGGTGTAGGTAGGAAAATCAAATTTCTTCATACTTATAAATTTATTTGTATCAGAAAACTTATAGTGAAATGAAGCACATATTCATTCTTCCAATGACTATTGTATTTCTGTTACTTCTGGGAACATCACCAACAAAAAGTACACCAAGTGAGTTTATGTAACTAAAAAAATAACAAGTAAGATTGTCAACGCGCGTTGATTATATTCTGGTAATGTGCATTTTCCTGCCCATTCAATTTGGATCCTTTCAATACCAGGTAGGACCAAAATTGCGATAACGGAAACTAATAACATAAGGGCCTAGTATAGATATTGTGATTTTTATAAAAATTAAACATAAGACGCTATTGGGTACTTGATATCTATTTACTTCGTTACAACAACGATTGAATCTTACTATTAACGTAATATATATATTTGCTTTCGATAACCAGTTAATAATACAATTATTATGTGAATTAACTCCAGGTTGTATAACATGATTCCATATTATTTGGTGTAAAACGATCCATTGATGCAATATTCATTACCGTAATATTATACCGAGTATTAAAGCAAATTCCAATTCTAGGAATTCGTAAGTGTTATGTGAACAAAAAAGCACACCCAATTGGTTCTTTGTTCCAGCATGAATATGCAGGATGCCAATATCGCTGTAAGTGTGCACCGAAGAAATATGGGCACCGCATTATACCCAAAGTAGTTTGTTTCCGCAGGTAAGATAACTATTCATTTAATAATGCTCAATTTCCCATCGTTCCTACACAGTGACGTGTAATTTCTGTACATGTAGGATCGGTATTAGAAATATTTTTTATGTGTAGACATAGAAAAGTCAAATGAAGTATGACTTAAATAAAAATACGACTCCACTGACCAAAATAGGCCAATAGTTCAAATATATTTTAACAAAGTGTCTCCAATGTAACCGAAAATAATAGTCATTCATAAATATATTTCAAAACAAATGCATGATTTTATCACATCACTCACACTTTGTTATTCAAGTCTGATAAAATTTTAAGAATAAATTTGAGCTGTTTTCAACATGTTATGTATGGATCTCTTTAATATTACGTTTTTATTTTTGTTCAGCTGTCCATCTATCAGTTTCCCATATTGTTGTAAATTAATATCCGATGGCTGTTGTCCCAAGTCTTATCACTGCGAATATGGAGAATGTTGTAAAGATCAACAGGTGATAATTACTTTTATCTAAAGAAAATTGTTGAAAGTTCATTCATAACTTTTTTACTGCAGTTTTATCGCAATTTTCTGCGTGGGAAAGATCACGCGCACTCACATATCACAACAATATTCAGAATAAAATCAGCGATCCAAATTTCGAGTTGAGGCTTCAGTTATTCAATATACACATTGCTACAGAGTTGAGAAAGCTAGGGTCTTCGATTCAACGTGAGTCACTATTCATCAAAATCTCAAATCTTCTGAATGAGATAACTTGTGCAAATGGTACTTTACTCAGTGATTGACTCTATTTGAGGACCCGTGACTCATGACTGGGGTTCCCAAGACTGCGCTGCACATGGCTACATAAATACGTACGGTTTCATGAATTCTCTCATTCATAATTCTTTCATTACATAATTCTTATCATTAATTTTATACCGTTCGGGGAAGCAGTATATATATATTTAAACTTCTGATGTGATAAACAAAATCGGGTACTCCTGAAGTATGCGCATCAAGATGTTGCACAACCTGAACCCTAACCCGGTATACACAACCTGAGTTCAGGTTGTGCGCCATCTTGGTGCGCATACTTCAGGAGGTCCCGAAATCGTCTTCGGAATTAGTTGAACACGTCTACGTCAAAAACGAATGTTACCAATGATTTATGATTAATTGGTTCGTCATTTCGTTTGTGTAATGAGAATAGAAATAATCGATTGTATCGCTCTCGTATACAATGGTCAAAATTGTGCTCTGGAGCGTACCTTGAATTTTTACGAGAATCTTATAGCTTCGAGACTGTTATTGGTTCATAATATTTATCTCACAAGTTTTCAATTAATAAGTTGATAAGTACACAATCGGAACCGTTTATGCTTATGCTCCTTGGTATTATACCAGTAATCGAAGAAAGTTGCATTAGATTAAAATTTTTGCAACTCCACATTCTTTTCCCAATCACATGTGGCATCACGAACTACAGGTCGATGTATTGTGCATATAGCTGAAATACCGCATTAGTTGAATTCAAAATTCCGCAAAAAAATGAATCAAAACGGGAAATAACATACCACAAAGTGCGAGCATTTTCCTATTTTTTTTTTATTATTGGAAAATATTTTATAAGCACTTCGCATTTAATGCATTGTGGTAAATATAGTAAGCTAGGCCTTATTTTTAGACGGGTGACTTATACAAAATGAACGAATCATGGAAATATAACGACACATGTAATTGTACATGCCTTGGGGAAGGAAGAGGAGCATCAAAATGTGTTTGCTGTAAGTAATACTCGAACCTAAAACACAATTAAAATTATTACTGTAAATCCAATCGTCTATTTTCTATTGCCCGAAATAGCTTATATATATGGGTGATGTTGTTGTTATTTATTCATGCATACAGAATATGAACGGATAATTTTCCAAGATTAAATATTCTCGAATACGAAGTGATTTTTATATCAAATCGAATATTTCTGTCAAATAGGAATATGAATATTGGTTCAAACAACTAGTTCTATATATTTGTATATAGCGCCATTTCACCGCGTGTCTGTTTATTCACCGGCATCGAAATTAATAATCAGGGCCGGATTTGGACAAAGAGGGATCCCAGGCTATGGGTTCTTAACCCTTTTCCTCTTCGCACCCCTAAAAATTCACATCAACGATTCTTGCAACCCCGTTTTGGAATTGCTGAAAAACAGTATTGTTTATACGCGTGAATAGTAAAGGCATAGTAGTATATTCATTTTTTTCATGTATCTGGCATTCAATATGTTTTTATATCTCGTTTGAAGCGTTTAGTTTCAAGCAGTTAAGGTGAATATGGGAAAAGTGGAGAATTTCTTCCACCACTCCAAACCTTTAATGGCGTTGTATAGTTAACCAAACTTCACAATTGAGCATTCTTGCAACACCCGGTTAGAAACCTCTGCCGTACAATAACGGCACAACCTCATTATGACGCTATAATATGTGTCTGGCGCTATGTAGAATGTAATATGACGCCTTAATTAAAATTGCATGGAATACGAAATTTTAGTTACAGGCAAAATAGTAAGCTCGTTACCCAAGTAGATTGGAAAGTAAGTTGAACTTAAAAATACTGATACTCAAGGCTGTAATAAACGACACTGCACCAGTAACCAACCGGTGGCCATGATTATACCCGTTTATATGCGAGGGTTGGGTGAGAGGGGGGGGGGGGGCATGATGATCTAATTACTGATAAATAAAAGATCACTGATGAATAAAATTAGAATTTCCTTTTATAAAGGGGTTCGATAAAAAAAATCCGAAATAGTAAAAATTCTTCGATTCGTTGTTGCTAAGATAAATTAGTATAACTTTATATCGCTATTTTCTGATCCTTTTTAGGAAATGGAGGCATTATTATGGTAAAAACTGTTCAATTTATTTAAACTAGCTTATTTTGTTTGAAAATTAAAGAATAAAAAATCATAAAAACATGAATGATACGGAAAGGTTTCCAAATAAGTTAGCGCGAAGGTTCGTAAAACTTGTCTGAGCTCGTTTAAATAATTGAGTATCCGATCATAAAGTCATACTTGTGACATTGTAAATATATATAAACTTTTTTCAGCGATGTCTCAACTCGAAAACCAATGCGCTCCAGATCCTACTTCCAAATGCTATGCGTGCGGATCTGGTAAGTGTGTCTTTAATTGAAAATTTTCAAAATTATTTTAGTCTAGCTAGAAAGTTTCGTCCAAGACGCCATAAGTAATATTATATTTGTGCGACATTTTTAAGTTGAGGTGAGTAAAATAATAAAGCAGAGAATACTTTAATATGTAGTAATTTAAAAAGTGCAACAATGTATTTACTGAAAAAGTGATATCTCTTATTATATATATATATATTATAAATCAATTCCTTCAGGTAAGACGGACTGTCCTGTTCGACAAAAATGTGAGACGTATACAAAAATATATTCCAGACAAAAGTTTAATTGTACTTGCTATGGAAGTTACACTCGATGCAAATTTGCAGAAGGCAAGCCCATCACCAGAAGTAGGTAGGTTTATCTGCGAATTGAAAAAAATTTCTAGTGGATTAGGTAGCAAATTATCTAACAAAGTTATGATAAGTGAGTCCATTAGTAACAGGATTATTAAATCCTGTTCCACACATCCACATTATAAATCTAGACTGCTGCCAAATCACGCGGATTCAATCCACATGCGGGTGCTGAAATCCATGGGTTAGTATGGGTTCAAATACCCGTGCAAATTTCCATAGGTGCAATAGTATGCAGGTGCAATTGTCGTGGATTCAAATGTAATGGAACCGTATTCTGATAGTTATAAGTCAGAAATATGTTTGAAACAATAATGTTATTTGTATCGCGGCACCTGCTTCTCAACGCTTGGGAGCACTCAAAAATTCCACATAAGTGTACATAGGAATAGCTATCGAAAGATTCCTGCGAACTGACAATAAATTTTCCTTATTGATTCATTTACAGACATTCGGCTTCAATACCAATGTTTACAGACACAGACATTCTGATCTTCGAAGGACTATTTCGTTTCCAACCACGAATAGTTCAACACATCGAACTCTAAAACATAATTTTCATATCTAAAAAGCTACAAGCATATTGAGAAATCAGACTATTTCTGTGCGTTTTCGAGAATGCTGCTTCGAATATTCCCATTACCCATAATCACCAGGGCCGGATTTGGACTATGAGAGGCCCTGGCATACGCCATTTGTGAGGCTTTTCTTTAACAATACTGTACCGGTATAAAAATCATTACGACGTCATTATATGTATTTTCTGTGGATATTGAAAATGTACTATGACATCGTGTATACAATTTTGAATTGCATAATATACGTATGCTAATCAACCAAGTAGATAGGATGGTATTTGAATTTAAAACCGGTTTATCAGGGAACAAGAATTTACAATTTGAAAGCGCCTTAAAATGGATAGCAGGCGTAGTTTAGAATTAAACGCCGGGGGTCCCTAAGCTTCTTTTTCTAATGCTAGGCTAACTACGGCCCTGATTATTACTCACGTGAGATCCAGTTATATCAGAATTACGTGATTTGATTGCAGTTGTTTCATTTTCTATTGATTGATGAGTAAGAACATTTGGAGAAATAAATTTATATTTTAATCCGGTAGTTGTTGCGGCATGCGATAGGAGTCAATCTGCGTATTTTAAACATGGACTGGTAGCGTAAAGAGAGGTAGTGGTACGCCCTATCATCATTAAGCCGTCTTATCGGCTTCCCTCCCGGCATAAAAATCCTATCCTACGTTTGACATGCTCTCGCCACTCGTATCATTATCCATTAATAGGCTCACAGCAACTTTTTTCTTCTCTTCTATTACGACTAGCAGCGAAAGCGCCCTATGATCATTCATCACTTTGCTTTCAACACATTTTCAGGTCTCAATTAGACGAAGTGATCAATCACCTTAAGTATACCTACCTTGACCCAGCAAAATGCTAGGCTATAGATTCGATTTTCTTACACAAATTCAAGGTTAAAAAAACTTCTATTATCGTTTGAGTACGTAAACCACAAACACAACTGAAAATAATTATTGTCATTTAATACGGAAATAATGATAATAAAGAAAAAAAAGCATGGAAAACACCGCTGCAATTTACATCAAAATCGCCTAAACATACGCATTAAAAACACAACAAAGTAGATTGGTTCTGACGTATATATTGGGCCCTAAAAAATCACAATCTGTTAAATTAACCCCTGCTTTAAAGTCAAGAATTTTTTGCTAATGACAAAAATGGTTGAATGGAATGTGGCTTTATACAACGCTAATGCATGTATTTGGCGATAAGTTAAATAAATGAAAGTCGAATTTCACTTTTAGAGTTTGATCACTTCTGAATGACTCCACTGTTGTAGTAGTTCATAGCATTGCAATAACATTGGATTTGATAAAGATTAAAAAGACTTGGTTAGGTACAAAATATATTTATTTATTCATTCTGATGATGCTCTGCTACTAACGATCATCGTGAAACTGATAGTTGAAAATCAGGTCTTATCCGTAAATATTTGACCATGTCATGATCTAATTCAAAGGGTAACCATGACATGACACTTCTTGAATCAACTCGTCATTACCGTTGATTGTGAAACTGATAGTCAAAAATCAGGTCTTTTCAGTACCTATTTGATCTAATTCAAAGGGTAACCATGACATAACACCTCTTGAATTGAGCTTTTCCCCTTCCTATTACTATAGTTATCAAGTGAAAGAAAACACAATCAAGCAAGTTCTATTGCTGGGAAGGTGACACAGGGAAGCTTGTATCCGAAACCTTATTCAAAAACAAGTCGTTTATTTTAGTTGTCTAGGAAAATATAGTTTTTTTTATGTTTGCAGACGCATAGCACTAACAATCCATTGCAATTGCATTTCATGATTTTGCGATCGAAATCATCACATTCTGAGTCATAGTGAATTTACTTTCAAACTATAGAAAATGACAAACTTCAACACTTTTCAGCAAATATTGGTTTGATAGGAGATAGAACTAAAGAACTTTCTTAAGCCAGCCACAATACAATTAAACAACACATCAGGAAAAATAGCTTTTCAAACACATTTTTGGGAAACAACAAAGCAATAAATTATTTGCTATTAACAACTGTGAATAATAACGTATATAGCAGTAAAAATTGGTCCAAGAAGTATCGGACAACATACATAGGTAATAATATACATGTTCATCAAAACTAGCTATGTTCTAGAATTTCAATAACGCTTGTTATCAGACATAAAATACGTAATTGATCATCAGATTAATACAAACCGAATGAATTGAGAAAGTTATGTGACACACAAAATGACATTGTAAAGGCATATTAGCAAGTAAAAATGCCAACAACAAGAACACAAAAATTGTAATACACATAAGCATCTTGAATATGCACAAACCTGAATGGTTCTCCAAGCTTAGTACCCTGCATTTATGCATTTTAATACATCTCTAATGTCTAAATGACGTCAATGAAAAGAAAATTCAACACTCAAATGCTGTGCGAAAGTAATAAACAAAGCATGCAAATAAGAATGAGGACATAAAAAATCACAAAAGCAGCATATATTTGATACAATTCAACATTTGATAACTGAAACACATTTGAGGAATATAATCGTGAAGTATATATATCATAGACAACAGGTCTCGGTATACAAAGGTTCTGTTATATCTTTATGACTTTTGCAGCAACTAGGAATGTCATAGGCATTTGGCAGATGCAGAAATGACAATTCAGAATAAATTGGTAATTTATCATCTGGTGTATAATATTGAATAACTTCAAATAAATTAAAATCATGTATTGTTCGAAATTTAGGTTTTTTTTTAAACTCCTTCACAGAGGAAGAGAAGTGACTACAGCTCACAGTTCAATCTTCACTTCACACTATTGTAATAATAACAGATCAAGGAGCTCTGTGATACATTAACGCAGATGTGTTAAATCATCACATAAAAAGAATGAGTCATGCACGAAAAGATATTGGCTTGCACATACCTGATGAGTTATGAAAACATGGATATAATTGTGACAACACACATCATTATGAATCTCTCATAATAAACATAAATGTTGACCAATTTAAAAAAAAAATTAAATTAAATTTTCTTAATACAACACAAGTTTTAAATTGTTCATTGTCCTATAAAATTTAATCAATAATTTGTTCATCTGAAATTAAGTTATGATCAACAGTATGCTTTGGCTCAACCATATATCATCAAAATCCTAGAGGTAAAATGTGCATAATCATGGAGATGTATGCAGAACATTAAGATCAAATGAATGGCCTCTTCACAGTTTAATTGTGATATTGCATAAGCTACTTAAGATCCATTTATTATATTTAGCCTAATTGGTTACACTAAAGGAAATTAATTTCCTAAAACTGTTGGACATTGTTTTGAGAACGCATTAAATAAGAATGTTAACAGTCATGGCCAAATATTTCCAACTGTTTTATCTTTTTTTATGTCTTGCAAATAACAACCTATAAAAATTTTGTAATATTAATTATTTTAAAACACATAGTCCCTCATGAAAAATATAATCAACATTTTAACAAAATACCTACAATTGTGCAATGTGGCCAACTCGTGTTCTTAGAATCATTACACAGAAGCTTATACTGCCTTACTTATGATAAATCACTAAAACTAATATGTAATACCTTAGGATTGAGTATATTTATCATATGCATATCAAGCCAGGCAGAATAAATATATTGCAATAATAATCTAGATGTAATTATTGACTGCCAGGATAATGAGTAAAATTAATTAAAGATAATTCAAAAAGTTAAAGAATTGCTACTAGAATTCACTATACGGTATTTTATTTCTCCCTGGTGAGATGCACATACTTCTTAATAACCATCTGCAGCCCAGATGTACAATAAAATGCATTTGTAAACATATTAATTTGAAATTCACTAAACACTAATCACAGGCAAATCAAACTGCAGTTATTGGTCTAATACAAATGGCAATTATCCTATGTTATATGATATCATCGGTTTTACAGTTCTCATCACCAAGAAAATTGTGGTCAAATTACTCAGGCAAAATAGTCGAAAAATAAACCTGTTAACATCCTATGCAGATTCTATACAATTATATGATGTGACGATGAAATTGTGTTGTGCATTTGGCGTGATGATGACGTGTCGATATATATCAGAGTCTAGGCTTGCACATAGAGCACGGGTTTAAAAAAAACTTTCTTCACTTAGATTTATGGTTGCATGTCAGCCAACGAAGTCCTTCATCAAGACCATCACCAGTTGTTGCACATGATGCTGAACATACCAATTCTGTCCCTAACTTGTGTTAATCCCAATTTTTCTTGTACTTCATGTGTTTTCATTGCATCCGGAAGATCTTGTTTATTAGCGAAGATAAGAATAAGTGCGTCTCTCATTTCTCTGTCATTAATAATACGATGTAATTCTTGCTTCGCTTCATCGATTCTATCATAATCAGCACAGTCGACAACAAATATTAATCCCTGACAAAAATATTACAAATTAGCAAGGAAGGATGAGAGAAGTTTGAATTAAAATAAATTGATTTTCCCCATCACCATTTACAACAATATTTCTCTCTAAGATTGTTAGTATTTGAGAAATTTTCATTGACATCGATGACATTCAGAAGTTGTTTATTTTGATTTGTTTATCAATAATTAAACTTATGAACACATGTTACATATTGCTATTACAGCATTTTCGCAAAATGTATGGTTATCCAAAGCCAAACCAACAAGTTTCATCCGAAAGTCCATCTCAGCCTGAATGTAAGAATTGGTAGGCTATGTAGAACTAGAGCAGGGGTGGGCAACCCCTGGTATGCGTGCCCATTTATTCAGCACGCGAGCGAGGCCTCGCCAACGAGATCATTCACCTTCAGATAAAAAGTTTCAAGACTCTTCAATTATCTGATGAAATTAGGTGTAAAATTCATTATCGTTTGTTAACAATCCGTCATTTATTTAAACTCTTTTTGTACTTTCATGACATATGATTACAAAAAATACATTATGACGTAACAAAAGAGTAGGCTCTCCAGAAATTTTTTCGGAAAGAGCGCAGCATTCATTTGGCTACATTCTTACGTAATATAGAAATATAGTCAGACTGTGCCACCCTTTTCTTCACTTCTGTTTGATTTATGAAGTTGTACAGATCATTTTGGTTAGTATTACTTGCTAACTTACAGTTATAACTTGATTTCGAAAGAAATATAAGCGATCAGGGAAGGAAATGCAAGAGAGAAGTGCAGTAAACCAACTATTTCGTGATTGGGATGACATTCCCGGAAAATTTCGTATCTTAAAACTCCACAACTGCATTACTCTCCATGTTTTCATCTACATATGCTTGTGAATCTGTGTTCTCAGTTATGTACTTAATTAAGTCTTGTAACGGGAGTAGCCTGAAAAGAGTTCAGGTATTTTATTTAAAGTTACAAAACATAAACCCAATGTAACATCTCTATCAGCGGTAATGCAGCAGCGGAGGTCTGGCTGATATAGAATAAGAAAAGTAATCAAATCTAATTGCCGAATGATATTTTTCTGAATAGTTAAGCTGTCTGTACGTGTTTATGAGGTTAATTTTTGTGTATTTTTGCTTTGAAATTAGCACATAGTTGTTTTTAATTTTGGTCGGCACGCGAAAGAATTTTGTCGTAAAATTTACCTGATTTTGGCACGCGAGCCGAAAAAGGCTGTCCACCCCTGAACTAGAGAGTTTAAGTTTCCTCCAAATACAGTACTAATACATATGAATGTCTTTTTGTATAGCGCTTTGTTTAAAACGAAAGCATAAAAGATATGGAAAACGAAGTCATTTAATAAATCGAAAATGCTTTAAAACGGCGCGTGTGTAGAGGGACTGCAACTTATGGGCAGGGGCTCACACAGACAACCCTCGAACTCATAATAGAACTAAAATGAGGAAAATCGGAATAAATTAGTGCCCAACCCCAACCTGGTACACACACTATGGGAGTACTTTTGAAACAGGGTGAAAAAGCATTTAAACCATAGCCTATCAAATTTACCATGATATCATCTACTATAAATATGCAACAGCAAATTCCAAATGACAACAGCAGTATGGCCCATATCACTTTACCTGTGTCCCGGTATAATAATGCCTCCACAAAGGTCTGATTTTATCTTGACCACCAACATCCCATACATTGAACTTGGTGTTTTTATATTTCACTGTTTCAACGTTGAATCCTACTGTCGGTATGGTCGTCACTGACTGATCCAATTTCAATTTATATAAAATAGTTGTTTTGCCAGCTGCATCTAAGCCAAGCATAAGTATTCTCATTTCCTTGTTGCCAAGTATTTTTGAAAATTTCTTCCCCATGTCCAACAAGTTATATATGATTCTATTTATATAAAGTATACTAGTGATTTGAGAGTTATGGTATCCAACAAGTTTATCTGTTGATAATGACAAAATTTTCTGATTTGATATATAAGATAAAACAGGGAAAAGTAAATTTCACAGAACAGCACTTTGAATTGCCTGGAGTATCAGTAAATGTTGGGTAGCCAGTGCTTTATTAAATCCTGGAAAACTGCAGTGAACTGCAGCAGTATAGGGAATTTTTGATTTTTTTTCCCAACAAATTCCGTTTACACTGTTATACAGTTATAGTTACTACGGTATTTAGCTGCTAGAAAGTCTGAAAGTGGTTTTCAACCTTTTTTCTTTTGTGGCCCACTTTTGTTGCACAAAAAATTCTATGGCCCATTAACTTTCTCAAGCAGGGAAAAAACTACAAAAATTCTTTTCACTAATATTAATATAGACACTTTAAATATCGGTAATTAAAATGAGAATCACCACCCAAAGCCAAAAGCAGCAGCAACATTCATTTCAATCAAAGTCTAACTAATTTATCAATACCATATTTCCCGGCTAATAAGTCGGTTTTCTGAACCCAATTTTTGGTCCGATTTTTTGGTCTGAGTCATCTTATTGGGCAGCTATACTTTTCTTGTTTTCTCTGGGGTCGGCCTATTTTTGGCACAGTCTTCTCAAAAAACATAATTCAGTAATTTGTGTAATCTTCATATATGGGTTTATATATTTCATAATGTATTCCCGCCTGCCAAAGTGTCTGTCAATCAAGATTATTCAATTGTCTTTGTACTGCCAGCTGTTATTTGTCCTATTACTTTTAAAAAATGTGGCCGTGTCATGAAGCACTCCCATTTATGCATATACCAGTATACTAATCTCGTCACATCAAAAAGAAAACTGCTACAGGTACTGGTAACACAAGAAAAAGTGATTTATTTATGACTCTTCGGTTTTGCCGATTCAGCAAAAAGGGACACCAGACTGGAAACACAACTGTTAAATAACCCATGGACGTACCGGTACCGTACAGTCTGCAGGTCTGGCAGTGCAGTAATTATCACACCATATTAACAGGTTATTTCAACGTTTCGGTTATTGGGTTGAATTGATGAATTGATTAAAATTACCCTTTTATTGGTATGAATTAATTCTGTGAGTAGTATTATGCCCGAAAAAAGCAAGGCCTGGTTCTAACCATATAAAAATGATTGATACATATTATTAGTGCTTAACTCTGCAACAGAGAACAGGAGAAGCAATTTTTCTTCCCCGTCTTATTGGAGGGTTACGGTATATGGAAAACCCCTATTTTTCAGGGCCAAAAATAGGCGTTGTCTTATTTGCCAGTAGACTTATCCGCCGGGAGATACGGTACCGGTACGTACGGTACCGGTACCGTAACTCTTGCAATTATGAATAGGTTTGTGGCCCACCCAGAAATGTTTTTATAAATTATTATTATAACTATGAAAATATTGAAAACCAGAACTCGTCTTTATGCTTTTAACTACGGTACCGGTACCGTAACTTCTAAACATTACCCAGATGTTGACATTTACTAAACCCTGTGTTCTTGCTTTTACGAGACGAATAAACATACATACATGTCCGGACGTTGGCAAAACAAACCGCCCTGTAATTTTCTCTATACCAGAGAGGGCACTAGAGGGCGTACTCAATACTGTATTTTAAAAACTTACATGTATAAGTATAGCTGTTAGATAGATTTATGGACTTTTCCACGAGCATCTTCATCCTTGTTTACTTCGTGACATTGGCCAATCAGCAAGATGCAAAAAGTGACGTAACAATGCTTCCTTTTCGCATCCGCTCAGACACTTTCCTCACTCAGACAGATTTTCAAGCGTGGTCGTGAACATCATCTCGTTTTGGCGTTTTTAACTCTATTCGTTAGTTTTCAGGTGCGTTTCGGAAACTCAAATATAAATCAGTTAATTCAATGATTACTTTTCCTAGGAGTTTTACTTTAATTGCAATAATAAAAAATGAGTGTATAAATAGCTGTGATAGACTAATGACATTAAACAACATGATGCGCAACTCCGGCATTTTTGTCCGAAGATCGTGTTCGATAGCACGCTCCAATGCACATACTTGACGAGACGAAAACGAGCGGATGTGTGCTGCTTTCAAGGCGTAGCACGAATGGTGTTCGTGCCTGCTTTGACAGTTGTTGTCGATTTTAATGATATTTTTGAAAGTTGGGGTAAAAAGAAATCGGTAAAAGGTAAGGTGAATACTATTGTTGTATATCACACCCGGGCATCGCACTGTTAAGTACATGTGGGAAAGCCAGCCTTTGTCAAATACTACGAAGTTATTAATTCAGTACGGTACGTAGTTGCCCATTTGCCGAAATTACATATTTACTTACCCCTTATGGTTTCAAATAGTTCATGCACCTCCAGTTAGATTTTTTTAATCAGTGAGGATATATACTCATTGTTGATTGCTGCTCATTGTAACATACTATTACGCATTCACTTTTATTTGCGTATTTAATCAAAGTGTTAACAAGTTCACCTAACATTTCACTCATACCGGTCTATATTGTATAGTCTGATTTCTCAAGTATTTGGAGCCACGAATGCTTGTAATTTTCTGACTAAACCCTTTTATTAGTTGGTTTATTTTCCAAAATTCAATAAAATATTTTTTAAATAAAACATGAGATATTGGATTTATTAGCTTTTCCATTCTGAATCATATAGACTGCTTTATTTATTCTTAACGAAAATTAATAAATCTCCTCTCTTTCTTCAGATGTGAAAGTTGTGGACAAACCTGTCTAAGCATTGTGAGACTCTTGCAGCACAAGAGGCAATAGCAGAAATAGTAAGTATATCAATCAAGAAATTAAGCCGACATAAAGCAAAACTTTCAACTATTCGTCTAATCTCAATTTCCTATTATTTATTCACAGGACAACTATAGCAGACGTGGAGATATCAGAAGTCTGGCGACATATCAGTGACAGTGTGATTCCAAGAAATATAATGCAATTGAAAATAGAAAATTGCAATAGAAAAAACAACCTATGGAGGCATGCAAAGACATTTGACCCTCCGGTTAGAGTTGTGTATGGCCCCCACATCCTGCAGGGCTTGAGGAAAATAACTAAAAATTCCAAAGCGTAAGATTGCATAAGCGGTCTTATTTGTAAAAAGGCACAAAACACGCCAGACATACTTAAAACAGCTTTGGAAATGAGGATTACGGGTACCTCACTGCACCTGTGTTATATTTGGTTCATCAACTTTTGGTAGTACTATAGAAGAAATTCCGAAAGGGGTATAATCATCATTCATGATAAAATACTATAATATATTTTTTGAACAACTTCAATCTAGACCAGGGATCTCAAACTCGCGGCCCCAGAGAACTTCCAGTGCGGCCCTCGAACGCTTAACAATAGTTGTAATAGTATTTTGGAAGTTTTTTTTTTATCTAAATGTAATAGATTTTTCAAACCTTCTAAAGTGAAATTGATTATTCACACAGAAAACAATTTACTGAAAGTAGTTTTGAAATATTAATTTTTTTTGTCCACATTTTGACCCAATTAAGAATACACATCAAGCTAGCAAAAGAATACTTGAATAAAACACTTGAGTAATTAAAATTAAACGCAAAGTACACGAAGAAGGTGGCATTTTCGAAGAAAATGGGAGTTGTAACATTTCTGCTCTTCACAAAATTCTGAAGCACATTGTTTAATTTGTCATATTTCCATCAATACAATCAAAAAACACAATAAGCTCAGCAGTCAATATGACAAATTCGAAGACCAACTTCGAACAGAAAATTTCCATGTGTTTGTATATTAATATAATTATACAACGACTTAGTTACTAAAAATCAATATCAATAATAATTCAAGCAATCCTATGCCACGCAATGTAGTGCGAAATGTCTTGTCGAAAAAATCTGTCATTTGTTTTTTTACTGATCTATACATGAAATGATAAAAGAAACTTTTTTGCATTACTGGAATTAATTAAACATTCGTAAAGATCCAGATAAACCCATGATCATGTGGCCTCGTTAGTTAGAGTTGGTACTATAAAATCATTTCAGACTGGCCTTAGTATGCTGGTGACACAAAAAGATGCCAAACGCCAGGACGAATGTAATTATTAAAACATTGAGTTTATACTGTAGTATTTTGTTAATTTTAGGTTCATATATTTAGATTAAGTTATTTTTAGTGTATGTATTATTCTTTCCTTATTCAAAGCTTGTTCAAAAATGATTTTGATGGTTGTACATAGAATTTTACGATTTTTTATAATAAATACTGTAACTTGCAAATGTTGCAATAATAGTGGAATGCAAATATTAATATGTAATTGCATTTGAAATTGAAGAAAAAATAAAACTTAATCCAACTGTTTAGTTGCATCACAATATATGTCACAAACTAAAACTATCTTAAAAATATCTTTTAAGTATACATTATCAAAAACTGTTTGCGGCTCTTTTTACAATTTTCAAAATGCAATGCGGCTCTCGAAAACCCATGAGTTTGACACCACTGATCTATTCTAGACGATTCAAGCATTGCTTTGGGAAATTATATCACTTCAATTAAATTGAAATAATCTCGCTATATTAAATACAAAATCGTTGCTATCATAGAGGTAAACCAATTCAGCCACTCGAAATATATTGGCCTTCACAAAGCAATGGAGGCAAAATTGAGAGTTCATGAGCTATGAACATTTGTTCTTTTCTTTGTCTTGAACTTTCCATACTCCACAGCCCCTATTAATTTTTTTTTAATTTTAATTACCATGTGATGGTCATACATATCTTTAACTTGTATTTTCTGTCATGATGTATTATCTCAATGTGCCAAACTATTAATTTGTGTGCATATTTTGCTTCCAGATGACATAAATGTATTGTCATGTTTATTACCTCAGCTTGGAGTATTGACAAGAAAAAGGTGCCAGTAAATTAGGTAAAAAAATTTTCAACTCATTGTTATAATCAGAATTCACAATCAATGGGAATTATGGACAGCCAACAATCAGTGAGAATTATATGCGAAATCTCTCAGAATAAA